CATGAAGGTCACAGGACGGCCCCAAGAGGGGGCCCAGAGGGGGTACCCGAACGGATATTTCAAGCCTTCGGCCCCAAGACGCCCCCAGGAGGCCACAGGAACCCCCCCAAAAGCGACCCGATCCGAGTCACATTCCAATCCGAGCCGATTCATGGATTCGATGTTGACCACCCGTGGATACAAGGGGGGAGTGTCCAGGCAGCTCACGACGCCAGCGTGGCCTCAGAAGGGACGGCACGCCAGCGGCACCAGAGTTTACACCACGTCTCACCGAGCCCCATCGGGCAGGATTCGGGACTCTCTCTCTCTCTTTCTCTTTTTTTTCCTTTCTCTCTCTATATATATACATAGAAGGAGGAGGAGGAGGAGGAGGAGGAGGAGGAGGAGGAGGAGGAGGAGGAGGAGGAGGAGGAGGCTCGAACGGACACGCCCCTCACACACGCCGACAGGGTCGGCGGATTTGGAGGGAGGGGGAGGAGACGGAAGCAGGACCGGTCGGAGGAAAACTGGCAGAAGGGGGTCGACTCATCCTCCGCCCCCTTCTCCCCCCATCGACAAGCGCACGTGGATGTCTATGATTGTGATGATGGGGAGGAGGAGGGTGAGAACAATAACTCTGACTTAGGCGATGATGCGGGTGATGATGAGAAGGACGACGACGATGATCGTAATGACTTTTGCGGCGCTGCTGCTGTTACAGATGTGGGTCATGGGGGCGAAGATGACGACGACAAGGGTGATGACGACAGTGTTGACGGCGATGGTGGCGTTGTTGATGCTGGCGGCGACGATAAAGTCGTTGTTGTTGCTGTTGCTGGTGATGGTGGTGGGAAAGGCTTGGCTGTTGATGATATGATGCTGATGATGATGGTGATGCTGATGGTGATGCTGATGCTGGTGATGATGATGATGATGATGACGATGATGATGATGATGATGATGATGATGATGATGATGATGATGATGATGATGATGATGATGCAGGTGATGATGCTGCTGCTGATGATATTGTTGTTGTTGTCGATGGTGATGACTGAGGCGGTGGTGATGATGATTTGGAGGATGAGGATGAGGAGGACGAGGCCGAGGAATATGCGGATCAAGGCGGAAAAATGGAAGAAGAGGAAGAGGAGGCCGAGGAGGAGAATGAGGACTAGGAGGAGGACAGCAGGAGGGATGATGATGATGCTGATGATGATGATGCTGATCAATATGATGAAGATGATGTTGATGATGATGATGATGATGATGAGGATGCTGCTGCTGCTGATGATGATGATGGTGATGATGATGGTGATACTGACGATGCTGCTGCTGCTGATGATGACGCTGATGATGATGCCGATGGCGATGATGTATATGACGATGATGATGGTTATATTGATGATGACCCTGATGATGATGACGCTGATGTTGATGATGATGATGATGATGATGATGATGATGATGATGAGGACAATGATGACGATTTTGATGATGATGATGATTATGATGATGATGATGGTGATGCTGCTGATGCTGATGCTGGCGGTGATGGTGATGACGATGATGATGACGATGATGACGATGATGCTGATGATGGCATGACTACGATGACGATGGCGATGATGGTGATGATGACGATGATGATGATGGTGATGATGCTGCTGATGACGATGATGATGATGCTGATGCTGACGCTGCTGCTGATTATGATGCTGATTACAATTGCGATTACGATTTCGATGATACTGGTGATACAGATGATGATGCTGATGATGATGATGATGATGATGATGATGATGATGATGAAACTGATGATGATGCAGATGATGATGGTGATGATGCTGATGATGACGATGATGATGCTGATGATGTTGCTGATGATGATGGTGATTGTGATGGTGATGGTCATGGTGTTGGTGATGGTGATGGTGATAATGAGATGCATGATGATGCTGATGATGATGTTGATGATGATGGCGATAAAGGACGAGGACGAGGATGATGATGATGAAGATGAGGGGGAGGAGGCGGAGGAGGAGGAGGAGGAGGAGGAGGAGGAGGAGGAGGAGGAGGAGGAGGTGGAGAACGACCATTTCCTTTGCCCTCAGAGCGGGACTATATGGGCGTCAGCCTGAGCGTGCTCAGGAGAAGGAGGAGGAGGAACATAAGCGCAGGATGCATCAATGATGCTGAACTTTGCCGTCCCGTCCCAAGTTCCCTCCTCAGAGATTCCTGCACGGATTTCTTCGCATTCAATCAAGCGCCCCCCTTGAACGTCGAACAACCCATGCGCCTGCCATTCAGGCGATAGCTCCGTGTGCAAAGTATTCACTCTTTACTCTTCTAGCTTAAAGTTATGCCGTGAAGTCATTTTGAGACCCTCTTGGGCCGCCTTGGGCTCTCTGGCCGTCTCAGGACCATCTGGAAGGCAGCTTGGCCGCAACTCCTCATGGTGCCCGCGCGATGCTCAAATCTTTCAACACCCTGGCCTTTTGTTCCAACGACTTGGCTTATCCAATGGGGGCAGCGTGATTGCCCCTCTGGCGCACGACACACCGCCTCTTGCAGCCCTCTTGGGACCTTATCGGAATGCTTTTGCGTGCCTTCAGGGCCGTTTTGGAGCCCAGCTGAGCTTGTCGTGAGGCTCTCGCGTGCGATCTTGGCGCCATCTTGAGGCGTCAGAGGCACGTTGGATGCCATCTTGAGCCGTCTTGGGACATGCTGTGCCATCTTTGGTGCAAGCTTGGGGCCATCTTGGGCCACAGTGGCCCTCTGGCACCTCGTCCCCGCCCAGAGGAGGTACTTCCCGAAGATAACACGGGTCAGCCACTCCAGCCGCCCGTCGGCCACAGGAGCAGCATGTGTGGCCCCCGTCTTGGCCTGGGCAGGGCAACACGTCTCCAAGAGAACCACCAGGACGGCGCGCGACAGTTCAAGATAGGCCAATGTGGCCTCCGCCAGGCCTCCAAGAGGCCTCCAGGCAGCCACAGGACGGCCCGAGGCGACCATGGAGCCTCCCCAGGATGGCCCCGAGAGGCCAACACTTTCAGCACCTACGGTAGGTTCGCGTCGTGTCGACCGGCGGCGACCCCGCCGCCGGCGTTCAACGTTGATCGTCGCCGGTGACCCAGAATCGGTCGATGTTGAACTATCAGACGCTTCGGGAACGGCCGATCCTTCAAGGTTGAACGATCCCCGCGGTCTCAGAAACCAACGCAAGGTGTTTCAGTGATTTTGGCCTTGACGCGTTTTCTCTTCCGATGGGCTCTCGGGACCTCAACGTGGCCACAAGAACGCCCAAGAGAGTCCCAAGACGGGCCCGTGAGGGCCAAACACGGCCGCAGAGGCTCCCACGTCATCATTTTCTTATCCATTGCTTTGCCGATCGGTGCGGACCCTCGCACCCCCTTCCCCCCCCCATGGAGTAGATCTTGGCTGGTTTTGGCGCCTGTTTCAAGCAGGTGGAGTCTCCCCCATGGGACGAGCTGTTACAAGCAGTCGCACTAAGCAGAGGTCCAGAGCCAGACCCCCCCCCTCCCCCCCCTTCCGCCCAATGTCGAAACGCCGAATACGACAACGGCCACCAATCTGACCCCACTGAGGCAGAAGAGGTTCCCAAGAGGGCCCCGAACCCGTCCAAATCTTAAAGAGGCCAACAGCGTCAAGCGTTTCTGGCGCTTGGGGCCCCGGGCAGGGGAGAACGCCGAAGACTCCAAGAGGCCCCACGAGAGCCCCACATCCAAGAGAGCACCCAGCATTCTTCAGCAGATTGCCCAAGAGCATCCCCACTGGAGCTTCAGACGAGTCCCACGACGCCCCCCTTTCCAGCCCTCAAGCCGAGGCTGCGCCAGGGGCGGCCAGGGGCCGTGCCTGGTCCTCTTCGCGGCGGGGCCAAGGGCGGCCACCGCGACGGAAAAGGAAGAAATATGGCCGCCGACACTCAATCCATGGGCAAAGGGGAAGTGTTGCGACGTGGGAACGGGAAACCAACCACTAAGCCGTGCATCCGGTAGGACGCGTGGGCGGAAGAGCGCGCAATTGGCGACTCTTCAGAAGAACTGCAACAGAGAGCGAGAACGCTGAGCGCCCCACGACTGTGAAGCAGGCAGCGGAGCGCAACGCGACTGTGAAGCAGAAAAGGGAACGGGGGAGGGGGCTGGAAAAGACAGCTGGCCAAACCACCTGCGCCAGGAGGGCCGGTGGGCCTTCCAAGGCATTGGGCTGGATGCCGAGGAGAGGCACGAGGAGGGGGAGGAGGGCGGGAAGATGGGGGGGTGAGGATGCGGACGAGGATGAGGATGAGGATGATGAAGATGACGATGACGATGACGACGATGACGATGATGACGACGACGATGCTGATGATGATGATGATGATGATGATGATGATGATGATGCTGATGACGGCGATGACTAGGATGATGCTACTGCTGATGATGATGATGCTGACGATGATGATGATGATGGTGATGGTGATGATGATGATGCTGATGCTGATTATGCTGCTGCTGATGATGCTGCTCATGATGCTGATGCTGATGATGAAGCTGCTGCTGCTGATGATGATGACGATGATGATGATGATGATGATGATGATGATGATGATGATGATGATGATGATGATGATGATGATGAGGCTGATGATGGTGTCGATGCTGATGATGATGCTGCTGATGATGATGCTGATGATGAAGCTGATGCTGCTGATGATGATGCTGATTCTGATGATGATGATGATGATGATGATGATGATGATGATGATGATGATGCTGCTGCTGCTGCTGATGATGATGATGATGATGATGATGATGATGATGATGATGATGATGATGATGATGAGATGAGGAGGAGGAGGAGGAGGAGGAGGAGGAGGAGGAGGATGGGGATCAGAGGGTGGTTCGGGTTGATCCGAGGGTGGCTGGTTCTTGACTGCCGCGCCACTCGAGGAGGAGAGCCCTCCCTCCCTTGCCCTCCGCCCAAGCGGAGCCGCTCGGGAGCAGCAACCGCGCCCGAAGGACCCGCCGGGCTTCGCCACCTGGCCTGAGGAGACCCGCCGCGCTTCGCCGCCTTTGGAGGCAGAGAATGCTCCTCCTCCTCCTCCTCCTCCTCCTCCTCCTCCTCCTCCTCCTCCTCAGCCATGATTCAGACATTCATTACACGCACGCGGCGCGCAACGAGGGTAGACACCCCACACCTTTGTATATCGGGGATCGCGTATTTCCGCCCCGCAGGGGGCTACACTGCATGCTCATTTCTCTATCGCTTTTTTTTTCGTGCGTGAAGGCGGTTACGTGTAATCCAGTATCGGCTTGTCTCGCACGGTCTGATGACGTGTCGAACCGTCCTGCCTCGTGGGACATCATCCTGCTACCGGGCACCCAGATATTGGCCCACCCTGGCCACCCAGTTCAGCAGCATCAGCACAGCAGGCATCGGGGACCGCGCTTAGGGAGGAGGAGGAGTCGGCTTACGACGACCGTATGCAGAGTGAGCATCAGGATGCACCATCGTATCCTGAGCGCAGCATTGCACACTGTAGTTTGTCCAACAGCATTATTGCGCGGGCGAGAGGGTGGCATGCGTATGCAAAATAATGACATCGATTTTGTTGTATGTGTTGTCTACCTCGCCTCCATGGTTCGACAAGAGCAACATCGACGTGGCGCAAACAGTGTTTGCTTGGATGCGGAACATCTAGATTCAGCGGGAAGCAGATGTGCGATCGTTGAAGGAAGGGACGCCGACAGCGAGCTAGGAGTGCACAGGGGCGAGGACGGCGCGAAGCAGCGTACGCGTAATGCATGTCTGGGAGGGTGCGCACCTAGTTGTGAGAATGAATCGTGAAATCATACAGTCAATTCTGCCGACAGAACGGGCTGGGGGTAGCAGCATTTTTCCATACGACGGGACCCACATTCTAGTTTCGAGTGGAGGCCGGTCTAAGATATAGCACGTATCAGTATTTACCGCAGTAATCCCACGGGTGAGGTCTTGCTATTGTTTGCGGTTGGCATCGAAGGGCCATCCTTCGCGACGCTGCCGTCGTCCGCCGCCGCCGCTTCTCCCGCAGCCGTTCGGTCCCAGGGTCGCGCGCCTGCCGTCGGGTGTCACGTCGTCGTCGTCGTCGTCGTCGTCGTCGTCGTCGTCGTCGTCGTCGTTGTCGTCGTCGTCGTCGTCGACGGGGGGAACGGGGGGAACGCGAGGGGGGGGAGCGGATGACGAAGACGAGAAGGGGGAGGAGAAGCAATGATGAGTAAGAGGAGTACGCGTGATTGCGAGGAAGGCCGTCCGTCTGCCGCCTTCCTCCTCTTCCGTCCCCCTCCGCCCTCATCATCTTCCGCCTCCTCTCGTCTCGTAGTTCCCCGTGACTGTGTCGGCTCGCGAAAAATGGATGTCAAACCAGTCGCGCAGAAGCAGCGACGGGGCTCGCGGCGCGGCCGTGTTGGACATGGCACTGCAGCGAGCAGTGCAGGTGCCTCGTCAGATCGCGGCGAGGAGGATTCCCGGGTTGAGGACAGGCGCCTTCATCTGATGCTTCGCGGTCATTCCCCTCGGCCTCCCTCCTCCTCCTCCCGAACTGGGCCAAAACGAACGAGTCGCGGCGAGGAGGGTCGGCGATGCCGCTCCAGCCTCTTCGTGCAGGGGCGGGGCGCCGAGGTCGCACGCTCGCGGGCCCGGCGGTCGGCTTGGGGCCCAGGAGCGCGCAGCAGACGTCGTGGCCGTGCCAGGCCTGGGCGCAGTGGCACGGGCTCCCGCGCGCCCAAGAGTCGGGCCGGACGAGAGGGGGGGATTGGGAAAGGGGGGGGTACGAAATTCGCTGCATGCAGCTGGTTTCGGCCCCTCCGAGGGGCCCATTCCTCGATACATGGCCGCCTCCGGCGCCGGGAGGCGCCGGGAAAATCAGCTACGTGAGCTGATTCTCAAACTTCCCTTTGCTGTCCCCCGCTTTCGCCCGACCCGAAAGAGGCTCTCTGCGCGTGCCCTGCAGGGAGGCGCGCCTGGGCGCGGCGGCGCTCCCTCTCTTCGCGCGGGAACCGACGCTGCCCAGTGCGCGAGCTCATCGTTTTGACGGCATGCCCCCCCCCCCTGAGGAGGCCGCGGCCTAAAATCCCCCCCCCCCAGATAAAAATCTCCCCCCTAGAAAAGCGGAGCTGTAGCCGGGCCGGGGCCCGGGCCGGGGCCGACGGGCAAGCGAGAGAGGGGGCACGTGTTCGCAGTAGGCGGCGTGGCTTATCAGAGCGCCTCGGGCCCCTCGAGGAGCCTTCCTCCGCCCAATTCGGAGCAGAAACCGTCTTCAGAAGGCGGGAGGCCATCCGAGCCTTCTGGGAAGGCGATCCCCCTGCGCCTTCCCCCCCAGGGCGCGCCGCCGAGCTCCGCAGATCGTTGTGGGGGGGGGCGGTTTTGGGCACGCGGGGACCCTTGTGATCAAACGTGCTTCGCTTCCCTGGTTTTTGGTTCCTCCTCCTCCTCCTCCCCCATGTAATCTCATGCTGTCTTGGGTTTATTGGCTGGACCGTTGAGGTCAGTCGCTGCGGATCAGAACCCAACGTTTTTGCAGCCACGGACCCGACATGTTTCCAGGGCATGTCCGTATCAATCTCCATCAGGCTGTTCTTCTCTTTCTCTCTTCTCCTTCCCTTTTTCTCAGGTGATTTTCACTTCGGGGCTGTTACGGCGTCAGTTTGCTCGGCACGCGGTGCGCGCGGTTGCGTATTTTGGCAACCACGCTGCCCATTCCCCCTTCTTATTGCTTCTCTTCCCCTCCCCGTCCTTGTCTGTTCTGGCTCTGTCTCACTTCTTCGGCGGCAGTGCGGTTCGATTCGCAGTGCTGGCTGATGCGAGCCCCCTTTGATTTCCTCTTCCCTTATCGAAGACTTCGCGATTGGAGGGGTGAGACACCGTTGCGGGCTCCTATCAGGGGACATGTCGCAGGAGAGCGCTGCAGCAGGTTTGGCAGCAGGGAGTCCAGGAAACGTGCCATCTCCATCTTTGCTGTGTGTTATTCCTTGACGTTCGCGCAAGTTTTTTTTGGGGGCGGAAGCCCCGCTGAGTTTCGGGGGCCATCGGATGCTTCTTGGGCCTCCCCCGCTCCTCTTTCTGCATTCACTCCCCGTCCTCAGGAACGAGGTGAGGATTAGGTTTACGTTTTAGCGTCCGCCGCAGCATTTCTGGCTGCCGAGTGGCGTGGAGCAAAGGGACCGCCCGCGCGCTCCCCTCGCCTCCTCCGTCGTCTCGTCTGTCGTTGCCAGCGGTGTAAGTCTACTACTACAAACTGGTGGTGCTCATAGAGGAGCTCGGCCGCCCTCACCGGCGAGCCGAGGCCTAACATACCACAGGGGGTGCTTGGCCCAAAGGCCACCGTATCCCTAAAGACATGTTCGAAACATTTTTAGGACATGCTTGACACATTTTAAACACACTTTTAGGTCCAATGATCGGACTGTTAGAGCGTCCATTGTCATGGCATCCACAGCCCAAAATCCATTGGCAGGCGGCCCAGTAGCTGGCAGCGCGACGGACTGTGCGTCCGAGGTGCGGGGCGGCGTGCGCCGTCGGCGGCCCTCTGTGGCCGCAGCCGCGCACGTTGTGACGACAGCTCGGACCACACGAAGGATTGCAAAAAAAAACCCGAAGGATTGCAAAAAAACCCTTCGTTGCAATCCTTCGGGTTTTTTTGCAATCCTTCGTTGCAATCCTTCGGGTTTTTTTGCAATCCTTCGGTCCGATGCCAAACTGGCAATGATGGCGAGACGGCGTACAGTCGGCCCAGATTCGTAGGTCGACCCTGCCAAGTCAAGGGTACCCTTGTGTCCTGTGTCTCGCGACCCATGCCTCCTGCATCCCTGCGGCGATGTGGCCCTCGGAAGGGTCTTGTGTCCTCTCGCGTGTCCTGTCCAATCGAGTCCGACTGTAGACAGAGCACGCGGAGGGCTGTGTGCAGAGTCCTTCCCAGTCACTCCGAATGCCCCCGGGTTTGAGAACGACAGTGCATCCAAAGCTTCCAGGCGGTGGGTAAGGCCGACGGTAAGACTAGTGGGTGCCCAGAAGCACGATAATTCTGCGACTGCGCAGGCCAGAGTGTTTCTGGCAAAGCAGGCCGCACGCGCTGGCAAGCGCATTCAAGACAATGATGGTGGTGGCTGGCCAATGTCAATGTTTCGCCGGGCTGCTGGATTCGCTGGGGTCGTCGACCGTGCAGTCCTGATCACCCAAGCGCGTGAGCTCCGCAAGTGCCCCTCCTCCTCCTCCTCCTCCTCCTCCTCCTCCTCCTGCCCCTCTGTCTCCGCCGCTTGCCTGCATGGGAGGAGGAGTCGAGGAATGGGAAGAAGGGAGGAGGGACGAAGAGTTTTTACAAGGGAGGGGTGTCAGGAACGAGGAGTAGGGTTGAGGGGAGGACAGAGGCCTGTCATTGTGCCGCCAGGGGCGTCCCAAATGAAGAAACGGAAGAGGGATGATGAGGATGAAGATGAGGATGAAGATGAGGAGGAGGAGGAGCAGGGGGAGGGGACGTAGGAGTAGGAGGAGGAGGAGGAGAAGGAGGAGGAGGAGGAGGAGGGGGAGGAGGGGGAGGGGGAAGAGGAGGAGGCGGATGATCACTCATGATGATGAGGAGCAGTAGAATGATGATCGTGAATATGAGGATCAGGAGGAGGAGGAAGAGGAGGATGAGGAGGAAGAGAAGGAGGACGAGAAGGAAAAGGAGTAGTAGGAGGAATAATAGGTATCACGATACCCAGCAAGCTCTGCCCAACAATATCTGTGAAGGCACTTCTACAGATGGTGCCACGGAAGCCGCCACATTCCAAGGCCGCAACCTGCCCCACGATGGAAATGGCCACGCGAGCCTTCTTGACCCGACCTCGCCAGCACACCTCGACACCAATCTGCACAGTACCTCACGGCAGCACTTCGTCAGCAGGCAGAAGAGGCCGTTGGGCCCCAGCTGGTGTAGCTCATGCAGACCGGCACAAGGCAGAAGGCTAAGCCATGTGTATTGTGAACGACATGGTTCAGCATTTGCGGGCTCTTTTCGGACAGCCGCCAG